TGGATCGATTAGGTGAAGGTACATACATGAATGACTGCGTAACATCAAGAAAGGAAAACGTGATTTTTCTTCAACGATCAGACAGTGGAGGGTGATGGTAGCGTAGAGGAGAAAGCGGTGGAAGGGAGGGATGTAATGAGTCCGCTGGATTTTTGTCAAACGGATATTGGATACAAAGATGAAAACGTACGACTCAAGCGGAAGACAAGGTCTTCGCAGCCTTCGCCGCTCGCCTCTCCTGCTCCTTCCACACAGCCGCATAAAGTTCCTCCGTATCGTCAGGAAACTGGTGGACCGCGCCCTTGATAGGAGGGTACCGAGTGAAGGCTGCGAGGAAATCGTCATGGGAATCAAAACCTCCTCCGAAACGCTCCAAGTAGTCCGAGGCAGTGTTAAGATAATAATACTTGCCGGCGGCCTCAAACGCGACACAGGGATCGACGTCGGGCAGGTACGCGAGTGGGCGGATGGTGCCGGCTACTTTCGCAACTCGCTTGACAAAGAATTCCATCATGGTGAGGTCGTACCACATCGGATGGATGTCAAGAAAGATTTGACGTTGCCATTTCTCCCAGTCGCACGAAAAGGGGTCGAGGTCGAGTTTGGTACGGTAAAGCTCAGCGAAACGCTCCCTTTCGCGGCGAGCCTTCTTCTTGGAGGAATATTAGGCCAGGAGTATCATTGATTTCGGCTTGAAGCCTACTTTATCCGCAGGCTGGGCCGATGTGCTGGTCTGCGACACGGTGGACAGAGAGCGGGTGATTCTGCGGCAAAAGTCAAATGTGAGCAAAGGAAAGTCGGAGAAGGATTAAGCACCACTGAGAATGGCGATAGGGCAAGATTTGAGGATGGAATGGCATACGGCGCAGAGTTAGCATGGTGGCGAAAAGGAGAGGGTGACAGAAGCGTTACTACAGCTGTCACGAGGCACTGAGCACGTCGGTCATCGCTTCCCTCCACGCTTCCAATCATTAGTCATCAATATTTGGCGTGGGCAACTGTGTTGAGTTGGTTTTGAGTGTAATATCAGTCGGAGTCTACTTGATAAAACTTGTAAGGCCGACAAGCGGCACGGCCCGCTACCAGAATTCGACATTAAGACACAGTTCAGCATTAAAAGGTGGGTAAACTCAAGGTAAACTATACGATTTTGGCTAGCGAGATCTAAAGAATGGGATTGGAACTTACTAACTGATGAACTCACACAGAAATGAAGAAATTTCAGTGACCGGTTTGATAAAACTAACAAGACATGCTGGAGCTTCGTTCCGCCTGGTTACTCACGTCTACGAGTTTATGTAAAATTTGACCCACAGAAGGGATGGCTGGGCATGAATATTGCAATTACACTGTAACTGTGATAGCCTAATCTTTTGCCATTCACTGCGTTCAAGGTCCCCCTAGACTTACCATCTGTCAAGGTCCCTATGCTTAGCTGGGCAGACCACATCTGTCGGAAAATTCCCAAACAGAATATAACGGATCATATTGTCTCACAACCCGTCATAAGCCGGTAATCCTTGACCTGGCTTATAACACGTAGGTCTAGTTGATATATGCGCTCATAAGCCATGCCATGGCTTACAAGCACTCACATGCCATTATGGGATTAAGGTGGCTTCTATCCACTTATGACCAAGGTGGCCTGGCCGTGGCCGGGTTCAGATATAATAACGATACGGCTGTGTGCGACGGAAAATTGGAAAAGCGGAATATTATTGGTCTGTAGCTACTGAATACACTGGGATGTACTATTTGAGACCCCCTACTTGGCCACCCAAGTTAGTTGGCCACTTGGCATTTATAAGCTTGTCTGGTCCAGGGTGTGCAAAGTTGGGCCTCGCAGGACGGAATGCGACCTCTAACGGTGGTCCATACCCAAATTGGAGATTAACTGATGGTCGGATCAAATGCTGCGTGGTATTTGATGTCGTGCCGGAGGGTGATGCGATCAGTTTCTTAACGCTTGCTCTCTTTCTCCACGAGTTCTGGGCCGATCGACGAGTTTGGGGGCTCATTCTGCTCGTCTCATTCGGGGCTTCAATCTGTGCCACAAAAATTCATACATTCCTTCCACCCTTATCTGTACTGGTGTCAAGAAGGGGTGAACTCTGACATCGAGGGTGCTACATGGCCATGCCGCTAACAAACAGAGGATTGCCATGGCCACTCTGAAACTTGAGATAGGCAATCATGATACAGGGGTATTGAGCCTGAGAGGTATGTTAATTTTATGCAGCCCTCTGTCCTTTCCCATTGCTGTGGTCTGTCTCAAAAGGCCAGTTTTCTGTGGTCCGCACAGTCGAAATTTTTCCAGGACCCGTGGATGTTGGTAGGATGTCTGGTGCATCCAAGTACGTTCACATAATTCTTATAAACCATTCCACAACTTATTTTGGGTGACATGCTCCGCTAGTCGTGAACTAGCACCTCAATCGTCCAGATTGTCTATTCTCCCTATGCCCCCCTGCTGAAAATCAATATATAGACACTAATTATATAGCCTAAATCATGATTACAACCATCTAGAATAATGGTTTGGCACCTAATTCAACGGTTTGAATTCACCAGAAGTCCTCATTCAACCCATGAAGAGGACTGGGCCGGCGTGGCCAACTAGCTAGTATATTACTATTTTTGGAATCCCTTCGAAATAAATTCACGCCGCCCGCAATAGGCTACCTAAATTCGCTGGTCAGCCCTCAAATTACTCCTCCTATGTATGCACATGTACTAGACCACCCCCGGATCCAATACCGCTACCCCACGTGTTGTGCACTGCCTGAAAACATCAAGGTGGCCAAGTAACGGGTCTCAAATAGTAATGATAAATGTTCCGCTCCGCAAGCTCGGTTGACCATTGGAGTTGATACGCGATGTAACGGGGACGGGTTGCAGGAATTTATGTATCACGATAGCAGATTGGTAGACTAGCCTAGCCGTAGTGTAGTGATGGTGCACCTGCAATACATGTCAGCCCGCTCAATAAGAACACGGTGGGACACGCGCCGTCAGATGTGTCTAGCACTTCGGCGGCCGTCCATGGCATCGCCATGACATCGGAACCCAGAGGGATCTAGGTATCAAGACGAAGGCCATAGGTCATTCAGTTCGATGTTTTTTGAGGCGGAGGGACTTGGCGCAGGACTTTCACAGCACAAAATGAAGAACACCCGTGAGAGCCAGTGCGAAGGCAAGAACCAAGCAAGAACAGCAATTGAGGACAGGAGCTTCAAGTATATCTTGTAAGGAACTTGGGGAGCAAGGTGACATTGTGGCATCCGATACTTTGCCACACAAGGAGCTTGAAGACCGACTTGAGGTGGCATTGAAGGTGGCATCGATGACTTGGGGCCCACCGGTGGCATCCGAGGCTTTGAGATGATCCTAGAGGAAACCAAAATGCAAGGACCAGGGACTTGGATGGACATAGCAAAAGACCATGTATGGGCTTCGAGGACCAGAACGGCCAAGCGGGGTGGAGAAGATGAAGGGAGAGGACAAGGAGAAGTGTGACATTGATTGACGTTCAACACGTTATGGCCAAAATGTTCCCATTAATTTCTGCCATTGTTCACTTGCGGTGAGTTGCCATCGTTCTTTTGGCAGCCTGCGGGTTTCGAATTGAGTCAGTGACTTCAATTTTTATGCCCGCTTATGGCATTTCCAATGAAATTTGGCTAGTCCGGGCAGTACTTTCAAATTTAGGTTGAATTTAGGAGACCTTTGAGCCTGTGGTTGGCTGCTGGCCGAAGTTGGCATGCAAATAATAGGATTCTCAAGTAGAAGAGGATTCGAAAGAGTGGTTTGGAAAACCAAAAGATCCGAAAATCGTCGGAAAAGTGCTTCGATGATTGTAAATCATCACAATGTCTTGCAAGCCCGTAAGTGCCCTACGATGGCCGGTGACGGCGTGGGATGCCTTATAAGCTGCCCTGCCAGCGGCTTATAAGGGATATTAATCCCCTGCAAGCCGGTAATCCTGCGCAAGCCGTTACAACCCAAACAGGGTTTTTCCGACATCTGTCTAGGGGCCTACACAATCTCTGTGTAGCTCTGTCTAGTTCTGTGTAGCTGTGTGTAGATGTGCGTAGGTCTGCCAAGGTATGTATATGTCAGGCTAGGTCTGCCTAGCTTCCTAGACTCACCTTCTCGGAATACAGTCGGAAGTGTTTGAACATTTAATTTTTGGTTGAATAAACACGGGACTGACCCCAGTGTAGTTGGGTAGAGATGAGTTTAGGTACCTGCACTGGCCTACACAGGGTCAGCTTAGGTGACCTATACACAACTGGTCAGGCACTACACACACTTTGCCACAATTGTGATCAGGTCGGTCTAGTAGACCTACACAGAGTCTGTTTAGCCTCCTAGCCATTCCTTTACAGACCTATACACACCTTTACAGACTGAGGCTAGGGGGGCCTTGAACGCAGTGAATATTGTGATCTATGTGCTGAGTCAAAGGGCTGCCCGCGACAGCATGAAGGATGAGATTTAAACCATATTCAGCTCAGGGATAATCGTCACTGAAATCACCGGTAACCGGTTCGATGCCACTGAAAGGCTTGCTGACTCGAAGATACTTCGCCAGCGGGACGACCAAGAATGTTGAGAAAGTTTATGGTGCAGGATAATGGCAGGGGCAAGCTCATCGCGTGCCGGAGAAACCTCAAACGAGCTAAGGACACTTGAAAACATTGCCTGTCCCTCGCCTTTCTCAACCCAAACAGATTAGTCGACGATGACAATCCATATACGAACGGTGCCATTTAGTAAATTTAAACAAATTGAATCGGAGTCAATCAGCTGGGAGGCGCGATAACGAAGTGTATGCTGACGCCCCATGTCCTCCGAGTCAAATCTGCGGAAATTTATCGCGAAGTGCTGCTGGTACCATGGGGTCAGCACTAGAAAGACACAGTAGAAACTTGAGTCGAGTTGCACAGCTTGCAATTGAGTTGCGCGTTACTCGGTGGCTGAAATGGGTTTGCTACAACGCTGTTATGGCTCAGTGCAGAGCATCCTCCTCAGTTCATTCATCTCCAAAAAATGCTGTGAGGAAAGAGTGGGTTCGAATCCCACCAGCAGCATTTAGTCTCGATATGTGGCTTCGCCAGTTAAATACCAATAAAGTGTGGATGTTTCTCTATGTCTGTGTCCAATGTATGTATTTTCCTCATACCAGCTGAGATTGTAACATGTTGCAGCCTCTTAATCGGCAACTCTGAATGTGTGTGGTATAGCGAACCTAATTCAATGGTATTCAAGCTGCTGTGGATCAAGGTGGATCATCCTCTTCTGTTCCATAATGAGCTCCGTGATCTGTGAGGAAGGTGTAAGTTTGATTCCCACCAGCAGCATACCAGTGTTGTGTTTTTGTTTTTCTGTTCTTCTTGTTTGCCAATGGTTTTTCTCATCGCACCCACACCTGTGCTTTCCGTGTAAACCCAGAGAAATGAATCCAACACATGTTGGGCTTGAGTTCTGAAATACCTGAATTGGCCTACCGGTACAGATGCACTGTCTGGATATACATAGGCTTTGTCGGGGACTCGAGAAGTGTGTGGTATAAAGAACCTAATTGAATGGTCTGCAAGCTGCTGTGGCTCAATTGCAGAGCATGCTCTCAATCTTGGTTTGGAAATAATACTTGTGAGGAAGGAGTGGGTTCGACTCCACCAGCAGCATGCCGCGTACACAGGTCCAGGGTTTGTTTTTCTTTGGCCGCTGGTCTCATCCCATATCCAAATACTAGTACGCCAATGAAATTATTCTTCAACGACTTTTGAATTCCAAGCGCTTGTAATGCTGATTGTGTCTGTTGAATTCTAATTGCTTGAATACAGACAGTGGGGTTTATAAATTTAATCAATGGGTTGCAAGCTGCTGTGGATCAAGGTGGATTGTCTAGCCCTCAAGCTTCCAGTTTCTCTCTGTCCAATATATGTATGTATTTTTTAATCCAGCTGAGATTGTAACATATTGCACCTTCGGAAAGGAACTCTGGGAGTGTCTGGTATAAGGCCCAATTTACTTGGTATTCAAGCTGCTGTGGCTCAGTGTACAGTGTCTGCTCATCGTTATTACGGACACGCCGTTCGTGAGGAGGCGTGGGTTCGAGTCTCACTACCGGCATCGCCATTTGGTGACCATATTTTTTATCTTAAATCTTAAAAAGATATTGCCTGTCAACGCCTTCCAGTGCTCCGGGCAAATAAATCAACATCAACTAGAATTCTGAAATCCCTGAATTCGTCCGCCCACACACACGATGCACTGTATATAGGCTGGGTCTGTGTTGAAAACCCGGAACAGGAAGGGTGGTATAAGGAACCTACATTTATTTCTGTGCAAGCTGCTGCGGATCAAGGTGGATCATCCTCTCAATCTAGAGAGTATTATATCTGTTGTGAGGAAGGCGTGGTTCAAATCCCACCAGTAGCATTTGGCTGGACGTTGTGTCTTTTGATATTCTGGCCCTTGGGTAGTTGCTCTCATGCTGAATTCTCGAAGTTCTTCCTCTCAAGCTTTACTATGTACACTTTTTTCGAGTCCCGATGTCTGAATCCGAGTTCCAGCAGAGTAGAACACCGATTCCGATGTTCAAAAAGTGCTCTACGAAGTGTGTGGTATAAGGTCCCAAATCTAATGATACTCAAGGTGCTGTGGCTCGGTGTAGAGCATCCTTTTCTGGTAAACTGAGGGCACAGTGGTTTAAGAGGAAGGCGTGGGTTCGAATCCCACTAGCAGCATGTCCCTGGAGCACTACATATGCTTTTTTTTTTTCACTTTACTGCATTATCTCTGCAGCTCAAATCCAAAATCCACCGATGCAGTTTTGCCTTGGATAATATTTCTGCTTTTCAGATTCCAAGTGCTGGTAATACTGGTTTTGTGAATGGTGAATTTACAATTTCTTGAATGCAAGCAGGGACCGTGATTCTGTCAGATATAGAACTCAGAATATGTGGTATAAGAAACCCAATTTCGTGGTCTACAAGCTACTGTAGATCAAGGTGGATCATCCTTTTCTGGTATTGCAATTGTGAAAATGCGTGAGGAAGATGTGGGTTCGACTCCCACCAGCAGCATCAGTTTGCTTCGTGGTTTTTCTTTTTGGCTTCATTGCCTTAGCTTCCCCAGCCGAATACCAATCAAGTATGGATCGAGGTCGAACTTTCTCAGCCTGTTTCTCTGTACGTTTTACTCGCGGTAGATAATATTGTGATGCCCTGCGGCTTCGGTAAGTGTGTGGTATATGGAACCTAATTCGATGGTATTTAAGCTGTTGTGGCTCGGTGTAGAGCATCTTCTGATGATGGTCGAAATCTCTACTGTTTACGAGGAAAGCGTGGGTTCTACTCCCATCGGCAGCATACAAGGATGTTGAGAATTTTTTTTTAGTTCTTCAAATGTTTAATTAAAACTGTAAGGAAACAAAAATGACACTCGAAACGCCAGTCCACTGGCAACAGATTCGTCTGTGTGACCAATTTTCGTAGTGTGGAATAGTTAGTTATAGTGGGAGGTGTTTTTAGTAGGGTATGATGAGCCTAGTTTGATTGGTATTATATTCAAGCTGCTGTGGCTCAATGTAGAGTGCCCTCTCAATCTATCAAACAGACCACCACGATGTTAGGCAGGCGTGGGTTCGAATCCCACCTGCAGCATATAGGGTATGTGTATTTGTTTCGGCTTTTTTTTTCCTTTTCTTTCTCATTGCCTCGCCTAGTTGTATACCGATCATGTGGATGGTTCCTGTTTCTCTGTGTGCGATGCATGGATTTCATTTCCGAGAGGCAAGATTGGGACATACTGTATTTCGTTCAAATCGACGGTCACGCATCACGCACCCCCCTGTCGATATCGAAATTTGGCAAGGGTCACGCGTCACGCGGCCGTTTGTCGAACCTCCTGAGCGTCACACAGGGCTCAAAACCGCCTGTAAGACCCCAAAAAGCCAAAATTTTCGATTCGATGTCGAAAATTTCGTTGGTGTCACGCCAAATTTTGGCTGTTGTCGAAATGTCGAATTGATTTTTTGGGTCACGCGTCACACCCAGTGTCGATTTGAACGAAATACTACAGTATCGCAACTTCAAACTCGGGAACTCAGAAATTGTGTGGTATAAGGAACCCAATCGAAATGTGTGCAAGCTGCTGTGGCTCAATGTAGAGTGTCCTCTCAATGTCCGCAGCAATGGAACGTCGAATTGTGAGTAAGGTGTGGGTTCGAATCCCACCGGTAGCATTGCGGGAATAGAGTTATTTTTTTTTTTTTTTTGCCTTTCCCAATTGAACACGAATCAAGTGGACCTCGAGTTTGCTCTTCTCTGTATCCAGTATATGTAAGTACATGTATTTTCCTCGCAGCAGGTAAGATTGTAACACACTGCACCTTCAGAAAGAACTCGGAAAGTGTGTGGTATATGGAACCTAAATTTATCAATGCCCAAGCTGTTGTGGATCAAGGCGGATCATCCTCTTCTCGTCACGCCATGTCATTAACACCTCTGAGGAAAGTGTGCGTTCAACTCCCATCAGTAGCATGCATGTTACAACGGTGTGTTTCTTTTAATTCTTTTCTTTTTCTTTTTCTGCCCTGCTCTCATGCTGAATTCAAACTCCCTAAGTTCTTTCTCTCAAGTTCAACAATCACTGTATTTCTTCCGAGTCCTGATGTCTAAATCTGGATCCTGACTGAGTAGGACACCGATTCCGATGTTTAAAAAGTGCTATGCGGTATAAAGAGTACAATTTACTAATGCCCAAGCTGCCGTGGAACAAGGTGGATCTTCCCCTCAATCTGATTTGTGCACAACGCAATGTGAGGAAGGCGTGGTTCGACTCCTACCCATAGCATAAGAACTGAGTGAAGTACTTTTTTTGTTTTGTTTTTTGCCTATGGCCTCATCCCACATCCAAATACGAGTGCACCAATGAAGTTTTTCTTCAACGACTTTGTGCTTTTCAGATTCCAACTGCTTGGAAAGTTTGTTTTGTCACTTAGTGATTGAATTCCGATTTTTTGAGTACAGGACGGTGTCGAATAATCGGGAACTCAGAAGGAGTGTGGTATAGGAACTACAATTTCGTAGTACCCAAGCTGCTGTGAATTAGAGGTGGATCATCCTCTCAACTGAATTAGGATCGCCTCATCTATTGTGAGGAAGCCGTGGGTTCGAATCCCACCAGCAGTGTGCCCAGTCCGTAAGATTTTCTTTTCTCTCTTCCTTTTTTTTCTCTCTCTCTTCTTTTTTGACAATAGTTTTGACTCGGGCTCTGTGTAGATTCCGCGTATCCAAAAAGAAACAAGTAACCCAAGGAAATAAATCCAGCCGATTCTGAAACGCCGGCCCGCCCGCACACGTGCCTATCTGATGGGTGACGTATAATTGCCTCACAAATCATTTTGCGGCTGACTTCCGAATCGGCTTGTCGTCTCCTCGTCTCCATCGCCATGGACAACGCCGACTCGCCAGCGCAACTGTCCTCGTCGAGCACCACACCAAGCTCGTCGTCGTCTCCGTCCCCCGCACCCCCTTCGACGTCGGTGGCAGCAGCGAGCACGATGACAGAGACAGAGACGGAGACAGAGACAGACCCCACCCTCATCTTCCTCGCCTCCGCCAACGCAGGCTTCGACCACCTCTTCGCCAACAACATCGCTCAAGCGCGCATGGCCTTTGCGTCTCCTCTATCCTCTTCCCCGGGATCCCCTTTTCATTTATTAGGCCTAGGCGTATGCGCCTTCCTCGAAGCCGCGCTGGGTATGGAGAGCGGGCTGATGGCGGAGGCGGCGAGATTACTCGCTGCGAGTGAGGCGGGGGCGAAGCGCGCTGTGGCGGATGCGAAGGCGCGGAAGGGTGCGGTGACTTCGAATTCAAATAACAATGGCATAGGGAGGGGAGACGGCGGGGGCCGGTTCGCCCCGGGGCTGGAGTACGAGATTCTACAGGCGGACGCGGTGGTGCTGTTGGGGCTTACGCATGCGTTGTCGTGCGTCTTTTCTCTTCTCCCCCTAACTCTTCTTTTTCTTCTTTATTCTTTTATTCCATACTAATAAGGTTTAAAGTGAATCCTACATGGGCTACTTCCAATGCATGTACGCCCTCAACGCCGCGCACTCAAAGTTTACGAAACTGTACAAGACCGTGTTCCCCGCTGGGCTTGATGCATACTCCGCCTCGAATGGATCCGCCACGACCGTGAACGGAACCGGAAACGGCTTACGCTCCCCGTCCCTGCTCTCCGTCTCCACCTCCACCTCCACCGCCAACTCCAACTCCGCGTCGGTGCCCACCACGCCCACCACGCCCTCGAACTCATCATCCCGCTCAAGCCCCGCGCCTTCGACTATCGGCGTCCCCGCGCCCGCCCCGGCGCCGGCGAAGAGTATATTTGGAAGGTGGGGCGCGAGTACGGCGAGTTTGTTGGGCGGGTCGAAGAACGCCAGCACCGTGAGCCTCGTGGCGAAGCCGAGCGCGGAGCTCGACAAGGCGCAGATTGAGCGGGCGGATGCAGAACGCAAAGAGCGGGAAAGACCCGCGGAGGGCCCGGTGGAGGAGATGATGGTTGCTGGGACTGCGTTTGGTGCGTTCCCTCTCCCTCGCTCCGTCTGTTTTTCACCCCCCTGTTTTTGGTATATTCGGGGCGGTTTTTTGGGCGTTTGCGCGTGGGGCGGACGATGGACGAGGGGGCTATAGTTATGGTTATTCTCCCCTGCTCCGTCTGCCATCGTCGCGCGCCCGCCGAGTTCGTGGATTTTTGTGGGCTTGCGTCCGATGCCACCAGGCGCGCGCAGGCGCATCTCAGTTTTGTTGGCGTTCTGGCGCGTGCTCGTCTGCGATGATGCATGACGCCGTCCAGCATCGCGCCGTCTTGTAGCGTCGCTCCGTCTTCCATCGTCGCGCGCCTGCCGAATCCGTGGATTCGTTGGCCTGCGTCCGATGCCACCGGGCGCGGGCGTATCTCATTTTCTTTTTTGGCACGCGCTTGCGGTGACGCGCGTGCGTCGTGGCATGTTCGGTGGTGGACGATTAACCTGAATCTGCGCGCAGCAAACGAGGACGGCTGCACAAAATTTCTTCTCTTTCGTTTCCTTCCTCCCCGTTTTCTTTGCTCTATGTCTGGCCTTCATTTTCCTCTTCTTCGTTTATCTGGTCTGGTACGGCAATACTGACACCCCACACAGGCTTCGGCCTCTTCAACCTCGTGTTTTCGCTCCTGCCGAAGAAGGTGCAGTGAGTGGTTCTCTCTCTTCCTTTCGTTTTCTATCCTTCTGTTTCTTTCGATGTGGTTTTTCCATGCGGTGCGGTGCGGTGCGGTGTTACTTTCACTGCCTTGTCGATTTTCGATGCGGTGCTTGTCTGCGCTTGCTACGGGAGCGGGACGAGTGGAGAGGAGTGGATTCGATGCGGTACTTGTCCTTGTTTTTATGCCGTAGCGGGGACGGGATCAGAGGAGAGGAGAGGGGTGGCTTCGGCAAGTCGGACGGTGTGGGACGCCGGCGCTACCCAGGAGCGGGAGGAGATCAGATCAGCGCGCGGCGCGGGGATACGGGCGCTTGACGACCCGCGAGCGCTGCGGATGAGCGTGACCGATACGAGCTGTGGTTCTCGGCAAGGGCTGGGATCAGCGGTATGCGTTTGTGTTCTTGCTACGCTTGCCCGCCAAACAGGCGGGCTCGACTGGTTGCTGCTCGCATGCTTATTTCTTTCTTCTCTTCAAACGCGTATGGCGGTGCGAGTAATGAAAGAGTACTGACGATCCTTTCTTTCTTAAAAAAACTATAGATCGCTCGTAGGCCTCCTCGGGTTCAAGCACGACCGCGCGTTGGCGTTGAGGGCGTTGGCGGTGCGTTTCTTTTTCTTTTTTTTGGTTGGGTTTTTTTTTTTTTTTTTGCGCCACTTCGTGTCCGAGTCTTCGACGTCAGTGATACTTCGTCCGGGACCTCCACCGAAAGGAGCTTGCGCGTTTTCTGTCTCGTTGGGTTTTTGTTCGGGCTCCAGGTCCTGCGAGATCGGGAGGCTTTTCGTCGCGTCGCACGGATCGTCCACCCTCTGGTTTCTCTTTTCCCTTCTGTGTCGGGTGGGCGCGCGGCGCTGTAGCTCCATCGAGAGTTGGCTCCGTTGGACGAGGCTCCATGGGGTAGGGCGGTTCTGACCCCGGCGTTTTTTTGTTGACGAGAGCGCCGAGGCGGAGGGATCTGAATACCTGCTCTGCTCTACACTTCAGCGTCGGGTGTGTATCCGCTGAGTGGTGGATGCGTATTCTGTCTGTGCTCGATACACCGTCGTTGATATTTCGCTCAGTCTCTTATCTTATCTCTTATCCCTTATTTCGCCTTTATTTGAGTATACCAATGTCTGTACCCATGCTGACGCTCCGACAAACAGGTCAGCGCAGGCGTGAACACGCTCGGCGAAGGCGGTGCGCCGACGGGGAAAGATGTGCATGGGGTGTTTGCGGGGTGCGTCATCTTTTCCTTTCAGTCTCGCCTCCTTGGTGTTCATTTTATTATTATTTTGGCTGACGCTCGTACCTTTTATGTTGTTGTTCGCTCGCTAATGTACAAACAGACTCGTCCTCATGACCTACCACGGCGTCGTGCTCCTGCTCGCGGGGTACCAGGCGGACGAGGCGCGCACGCTGAGGGTGTACAAGGCGATTGTGGATGGGTGGGTTTTCGTTCTTCCTACTCTTTCTCTTTCATCGTGTTTATCCGGCGCTGGTTGTCTGGCGCTGATTATCTGGCTGGGACCTAAAGTAAACGGGATTTAGTTAGAGATGGATGGGAGTAGCGATGATTTACTAACGCACATTTTTTTTTGACAGGATCCACGCGCGCTACCCGACGGGGGCGTTGTGGATATTGAATCGGGTATGTTTCACATTTCTCTACCCTTTTCCAACTCTTTCAACCCTCCTTCTCCCACTATCTCCCACAAACCTTTGTCCCATCGCGATTTTCGACGCTGCTGGGGGATTGGACTGGAATGCTCACTTCCCCTCTTGCCTTTACTATCCTAATATTTGAAAATCCCAAATCCCTTAACCCTCAACGCTCGCTCACACATCGCTCACAGGCCAAGATCCTGCGCATGTCCAACGACCCGCAGGGCGCGATCGCGGTGCTGCAGCGCGCGCTCGAGGCGCCGCAGACCTTCGTGCAGGCGGATACGTTGGTGCGTTCCTCCTCGTTCTTCGTGTTCTTTGACTTTGTTTCGTTCCTTTACGAATTGCTTTCGC